AGCGGGGAGGGCATTTGCCTTGCATGCAGCTGACCTGGGTTCGATCCCCAGCATCCCATATGGTCCTCTGAGCACTGCCAGGAGTGATTCCTGAGTGCATGAGCCAGGAGTGAGCCCTGAGCATTGCTGGGTGTGGCCCAAAAAGAAAAAAAATGGGGGCATCTCTTGTGTCTGGGCACATGGACTGTTGAGGGACTTGCAGATAGAGATCAGTCAGCTATGTCCTAAACAAACGGGACCAGTGAAGCGCAGCTTTTAAGAGGAAGGGAGGGGCCGGAGAAGGAAGTTTGGACCTCTGTGCCTTGCGTTCAGCTAACCCCTGGTTCCGTCCCCAATATTGCCTGCAGATCCCTTTTCCCCACCCCCCAAGTTCCAGGGCTCACACTCCTCTTGAGCACAGAGCCAGGAGTAATCCCTGAGCTCTTCCTGCTGTGAATCCCAGACCCAGACAATAATAAGATGAAAATGAGTAACTAGGAAGTGGGGGTCATCAGACATGCAGATTTTCAAAAGAGCTTTTGGGTGAAGGAAACAACAAATGATTCTATTGTCATTTATATAGTGACCTTGGGCTGGAGCAACAGCACAGCAGGTAGGCCAACCCAGGTTCATTCCTCCCCCCTGCCCTTCTCAGAGAGCCCTGGAGAGCCCGGCAAGCTACCGAGAGTATCTTGCCCACAAGGCAGAGCCTGGCAAGCTCCCTGTGGCGTATTCGATATGCCGAACACAGTAACAACAAGTTTCACAATGGAGACGTTACTGGTGCCCGCTCGAGCAAATCGATGAACAATGGGAGGACAGTGCTGCGTGCTACAGTGCAGTGCTGTAGTGACCTTGACAGAAGGTGAGAATTTGTCGTCTAAACTTTCTCCCAGCTCCTGCCCTGGCTGTGGTGTTGGAAGGAGGACAGGAGGGTGAGCGACATGTCGCTCTTCCTGGGAGTACCATCCCTGAGCACAGATCGCAGAGTGAGCCCTGAGCACAGCTGGGGTGTTCCAAAAGTGAAGAAGAAGAAGAAGAAGAAGAGGGAGGGGGAGGAGGACAGTAACTTCAAGGGAAAGGGAGAAACGCTCACAGCTGGTGGCTGAGAAACAGTTGACCTTGATTGTTGGACCACAAGCAGGATCAGATGCTGAGGGCATGAAACTGAATAGTGCAGAGTGACCACAGGAAGAGGCCCACCAAGGAAAAGGCCCCCAGGAAGCCCACGAACTCCAGAAAGTAGGTCTTTGAGGAGAGTGGGGGATGCATTAAGAGAGACGGTGAACACCACACGCCAGAGAAACAAGCGGCTAGTGCAGTGTGGTGGGCGTAGCATGTCCGTCCTGGTTCCTCTGCCACTGACCTCCAAGGCTCTCCTGCAGAGCTGGAGAGTGTGTTCTGTTGGAGGAGGTGGTGGGAATCTCTGGGTTGCACCCATGGCACTTACTCCTGGCTGTGCTCAGTGATCACCTCCGGGGGGGCCCAGGAAACAGTATTCGGAAAGAATAGGATCCAGGTCACTGTGGTCAAGGCAGATGCCCTAACCCCTGTTTCATCCCCTCACTCTGTTTTCAAATATAAATTGTAAAAGCAGTGATTGCTTTCTCCTTTCCTTGGCTAGTAATCCATTTAAACAGTTAGAGTAAATTTACTTCTTACAATATTTATAGCAATGTTATTTTATATGAGCACAGTAAGAGATATATTAAGCCTAAAGTTTGGCTCTTTCTGGGGACATCTTACTACATATCCCAGACCACAGTCCTTAGGCCAGGGTAGTCTTTCCTAAACCCAGCAGGGTCCTTATTCAGTTACTTATTTTTGGGTCACAACAGAGTTTGTTCATGACTGTGCTCTTCATTTATAGTTAAGAATCATGGTGCTTGGCCGGGCCCATGTCCATACCAAGGTAGCTCACGGCTTGCCCTGGGTCCATCAGTCCCTCATCGGGATGCTGCTCTTGGAGTGCTTGGAACTAAGGGCAACTGAGGCTGAAGTCAAGTAAATATGGATGCCAGGGAGCAAATGTTATTTTATTTTTTAATTTTTATTAGTGAAACACCATGAGGTACAGTTGTAGACTTGCAAATTTTTGTGCTTGGGTTTCAGTTATACAGTGATCCAGTACCCATCCCTCCACCAGTGCCCATTCTCCATCGTTTACATTTTTTTTTAAATTTTTGTTAGCGACACACCTTGAGGTATAGTTGTAGACTTACAAATTTTTGTGCTTGGGTTTCAATTGTACAATGATCAAACACCCATCCCTCCACCAGTGCCCATTTTCCACCACCACGGGTCCCAGTATCCCTCCTACCCCTCACCCCCTTATTTTAGAGTCCGTTAACTCTTACCATGTTACATAGCATCGCATCAACTGTCTTCCTGTGTCTGTACAAAAATCCTGTCTTGTCCTGCCCTCCCGTTGTTCATCAATTTTCTCGAGCGGGCCCAGTAACGTCTCCATTGTTTTAAGACTTTGTTGTTACTGTGTTTGGCATATCGAATACGTCACGGGTAGCTTGCCAGGCTTTGCCGTGAGGGCGAGATACTCTCGATAGCTTGCCGGGCTCTGACATTGCTAAATAAACCATACAAAGGACATAAAGGAAGGACGAAAGCAATACAGAATTACTAGTGCCTAATGGAATTGGGTGTGCCTCAGGGGCACTGTTGTGGGTGTGTCTCAGTCGACCTTAAGCTCCCTACAGGAACAGCAAGGACAACCCAGTGTTATCCATCAGTGTTGGGGTGTGGGCCAGTTGTGAGCTGTCCCCTTTGGAAGAGAAATGTGTGAGGGGAGCAGAAGTGTGCATGAGTGACAGTGACAGGGACTCTCCTCGATCCATTCAGTTTTGTAAGACATTGAAGAACCACTCATGTGGTCACGGTCCCCCTCTCTGTGCCCCTGCAGTGCACGGAACAGGGCCCCAGAGCGCCCCACTCCCTAACACCGGCTCATGACAGCCGCACCCGGCTCCCTGCACCTCCTAAGGCATGACGAGCCGCCAGGCACCTTCTCCAGAGACCCATGTCCATGCTTTGAAAATGCAGCATGTCCGCTTGAAGCTGTCGCTTTATCTCCCCCATCAAAGCATAACCTGACATTAAAGAGCGTCTTCTTTTTACCAATTAGGTCAGAGTCCTAAAATTTTAAGACCCAAACCCCATGGTTTAGAGCGAACTGATTCACAAACCGTAGGGGACTTTACTGCAAGAAGAAAGGGTATGTACGTGAGCACTGCATGTCGGATGGGGCCTTGGGGATTTATTTGGTGATTTTCTTTTTTTTTTTTTTTTTGGGCCCCCTTTAAAAAAGAAAAAAAAAAAGCAAGAAGTGCCTTCTCCTTTATACTTTCTCCATCCTTCTGCGATGCTGTTGTAAATAAAGCTTCCCAGCACGCCATTTCTGAAAGTGAATGCTTCCCATAATACACGGTAGTGCTCCCTGCTATGCCATTAACAGCAGCATGTTAAATATTTGATAATAATGCAATATTCCGTCTTGTCTTTTTTCATTATTATTTTAACCGTGCAGAATTGCTTGTGAGTTCCTGTTGGCTCCTGTATTTATGTATAATGTATGTGTTCTGTTCCCAGACAGAGAGTAGGGTCATGCTCGTGGATTAATTGTTTTATCCCGTTATGTAGAATTTGGCAACTAACTACTCTTAGGCTTTGGGGTTCTGAAAGGCCAAAGAGTTAAAGAAATAACTCGGTCAGCAGAATATTCTGTGGCAGGTCCATTCTTAAGTGTATCGCTAAGCAGAAGTATTTTCACTGGAACTAAAATCAATCAATATAGTCTTTTAAAAAGTCAGGTTTTTAAAAATCTGAGCTGACAAAAATAGTTAGAAGCCTCAGTGCATATACTTAGTCCTTTTAAATGACCACCTTTTTCTAGTTTGCAGGTAATTTTGTTCTAGTTGGTTACAATTACATACATGCAAACGCTGAACAGAAAGAAACCTGGGAAGTTGAGTATTTTTTATTAGAGTAAATGAAATATAACTGAAATATGTATCTACTATGTTTCTGTAGTCTTAAATATAATTAATATTAACTGATGTTATTATTGTTTTACTTCACTTGCTCATTTTATGAATTTCTAGGGAGGTGGAGGGAGTTTGTTTTAACTTCTAAGAAAAGAACTGAGAACTCTGATATGTACCAACATACTGTAAATTCATAAAAGATCACTTGAGGCTGAAAAAGAGCAAACCTTAGCTATTTATATTTACTTATGTTTGTGATGCTGGGGTTCTAACCTAAAGCCTCAAACATGAAAAATAAGTGCTATGCCACGGAGCCATGCCCCCTGCCTGAAAAAAAGCATTTTAATACACTTAAATTTGGTAAAGGGTATTTTTAGCCAGATGAAGCCAAACAGTTAAATATTTGCTTAATTGTGGCCTTTTCTCAGGGCAAAGTTTGAGTCTTAAGATAAAATTATTGTTTGGTTTTGTACTGTGCATGAGTTAATTTAAAAGATTTTTTTTCTTTTTGCTTTGGGTTTTAGCAGACTTATGTATTTGAAACTTTTATGCATCATTTTTCATGTGTAGTTGTTTAAGTAATTTAGTGTTGAAGAATACGTATCTTTTACCACAGATTAAATCTCCCTGTTGAAGGACAAAATTAGTGAAACTGTAATAGTGAAAAGTGGACATCAATTCTATGGGAATTGGATGGCATTATTTACTTAGGTACACCATAAAATATCTGCTTCAATTAAGTGGCATGTCATAATAGGAGCTTTTTAGACTTGGAGTCCATGATCTTGAAATGTCTGATGTAACTTTTGCCACTAATTATTTTAGTTGTGTAATCTTGGGCAGATCCCATAAGACCATGAAGCTGATTTTATGTGTGAAACTCGATGCTCTTAGGTACAATCTGGCGATGAGAGAGAGAGACAGACAGGCAGACAGGCAGATAGACAGACAGAGTAACACAGAGAGAGAGTTGTTGTTTTTCAAATTTCTTTACACTAAATTGTCCTTTTCTCTCTTTTTCAGCTAAGCCAGCACCCTTAGAAATAAAACCTTTTCCAGAGTGGGAGGAATTACAAGCTCCAGTTCGATCTCCCATCACGAGGAGTTTTGCTCGAGAGTAAGTCTGGGATTAACATATGACTTTATTATTCATTATGATAGAAGAGACCTAGCACAGTGGCTGCAATGCTGTGATGTCCTGGGGTTCACATGATGACAGGGAGCAAACCCATTCAAGTGCATGCATGACCCTGTATTGTCTTCCCATTCCTCCTGCAATTTTATTGATTTATTTTTTTAATTTTGTGTGTCTGTGTGTTTGGGCCACACCTGGAGGTTACTTCTGGGTCAGCTTGGGGATCACTCCTAGCAGTGCTCTGGAGACCATATGGGACGAGCCTGGGTCAGCTATTGCTCTGGCCCCCTTGATTTCTTTTCTAAATGCAGAAATTCTCAACAACCATCTTGCCTGCCTGCCTGCCTTCCCCCCGCCCCCCTTTCTTCTCTTCCTTTCTTCCTTTTTGGGTCATACCTGGAGATGCTCAGGGCTTACTCCTGGCTGTGCACTCAGGAATCACTCCTGGCAATGCTCGGGGGATCATATGGGATGCTGGGGAAGGAACCCGGGTCGACCTCACGTAAGGCAAACACCCTCCCTGCTGTGCTATCGCTCCGGCCCAGTCTTTCATTCTAAGTCAGTCTTTGCTCTTAACCCACTCAGTCCCCAGCAGCGTTTTCTGAGTCTTGTCCACAAGATGATTTGTTGGCCCCACATGAACTTGCCCAAACGACTGTCCCCTGGCTGGCCCTGGCATGTGCTCCGAGATGGCGGCTATCACCCCAAGCCCAGGCTTCGTGCAGCGGTGCAGTTCCCTGGGGGTCATGCCAATGGCCATCCGTGACACCACTCCCTCTCTCAGCTCCTCCAGGTTCCCTCTGTCCCCCCGGCCGGACTCCGTGCACAGCACCACCTCCAGCAGCGACTCGCACGACAGCGAGGAGAACTACGTCCCCATGAACCCGAACCTGTCCGGTGAGGACGCGGTAGGTGAAGCCTTGTGTCTCTCGGCCCAGCCGCCCTCAGCCGGCACCCAACCCCACCCTTGATCCTGGCCAGCCCCTCTCTCTGTGCTTAAGGGACAAGGATAGAAAATACTCTCTCAGTTGCTTTATTCATTTATTTTAGTGTATTTTATTTATTTTTTTGCTGGGTGGTGAGGGCGGCGGGCACACCTGGTGATGCTCAGGGCTTATTCCTGGCTCCGTGCCCAGGAATTATTCCTGGCAGTGCTCAGGGACCATATGGGATGCTAGGGAGCAAACTCGGATAGGCTGTGTGAGAGGAAAGAGCCCTCCCCACTGTACTATCTGTTGCACTGGCCCTTGGTTGCTTTTTATTTTATTTATTTATTATTTTTGCTTTTGGGGTCACACCCGGTAATGCACAGGGGTTACTCCTGGCTCTGCACTCAGAAATTACTCCTGATGGTGCTCAGGGGACCGTATGGGGTGCTGGGATACGAACCTGGGTTGGCCTCATGCAAAGCAAATACCCTACCCACTGTACTGTCGCTCCAGCCCCATCAGTTGCTCTTTAGAAATAAGAGCCTAAGACCTAAGGTCAGTAGAATGTCAGAGTATTCTGTCAAGGTCTATAAGATACACATCATGTCGTTAGTTCAAGATAGAAGCGTTTTCCCATGGACATCACGATTTTCTTGTTTGGATGGACCCGCAACCTGCAGTCAGTGTTCAGGGGCTGTTCCTGACTCTGTGCTCAGGAGTGACCCCTGGCGGTGCCCAGGGACCATACCCAGTGTCCGAGATGGAACCAGGGCTGGCTTCCTTCCAAGTAAGCGCCTTGGCCCACCTGCTACCCCGCACTTAGACACAAACACCCTCTCTTGGTCACCCAGTCACATTGTCTCTTATTTAACACTTATTTTTTTTTATTATTTTTTATCATTTTTTTAATTAGTGAAACACCATGAGGTACAGTTATAGACTTATAAATTTTTGTGCTTGGGTTTCAGTTATACAATGATCAAGTACCCATCCCTCCACCAGTGCCCATCCTCCCCCACCACGGGTCCCAGCATCCCTCCCACCCCCCATCCACCCCCCCCCGTCCCCCCCCACCGTCCCACCCTGCCGCTGTAACAGGGCATTCCCCCCTATTCTCTCTCTCTTCTTTTGGGTATTGTGCTCTGCAAGAGAGGCATTGAGTAGCAGTCATGTTTGGTCCACAGACCACTTTCAGCATGTCTCTCCCACCCTGGGAGGGTCTTCACAGCACCCTTTATTTGATGTTAACACTTATTTTTAAGAGGAAGACTTTGTTTTTGTAACTCTTCGGGAAAATTCTATCGACTGAGAGTGTTTTGTTATGTTCGTGGTTCTGCGGGTTTGGGGAGGGCGGTGGTAGGGCCTCTCCCTTGTGCAAGGCACTTGCTGGGGCCACATTTTCAGCCACCAGGGAGCATTCGTTGTGCAGTTCTCCTGACCACACTGTTCCTTCCTTGGGGCGGATGGATCTGGAGGGGAGGAGACAGACACACCCTTCAACACCCGTCAGTGACATGCCCTTGGATGCAGCTTCCAGGCCAACTTATTTATTTATTTTTCCAATTATCTAGATCACCACATGGCAAAAGAATTCTCAAAAAAACAGTAACAACAACAACAACAAAAAAACACTTCTGGTGTTGAAGAACGCAAACCAGTTTAAGTTAATTTGCCCTCTCTCCAGTCTGCTTTCATTGTTGCACGGGGATTGGTTGTGTACTAGAGAAACGTATTGGTCAGGACTCAGACCACCTTTGGGTACCAGAAGTCACTGGCCGTGGTTGGAGATGGGTATTTCTTTGTCAGGGGAAAACTCAGAGCTGATCCGGAGTCACCCGGGTGCTCCCACCTTCCCGGCTCCCCACCTTGGCCTTCTCCTGGGCAGCTGACTCCACCAACAGGCCACATTCCTCTCTATAGGACTGCCCTGAAGAAGGTTCCAGAAACTGCCCCTTACAGACCATTCACCAGAACTTGGAATGTGGCCAGTTCCAACTTCGCTCTTAGAACACAGACCCACCAGGGCCTAAAGAGCATGTCTGTGTTCTGAGGAACAGGAGGGTGGACCAAGAGCCCCCACGGTGTGGGAAAGGCCAGCGGGGAGCGGGGGACACTGCACAGAGTCATGAAGGATAGGCAGTGTCTAACCCCCCAAGTCCAGACTTTGACCTTTTCACTTGGGGGCCTTCCACCATGTCCACCGCCCTGGTCTTGGGTCAGTCTGTCCCATTATCCCCTCCTCTGGTCATTTTTGTTCCCTCCCCAGTTGGTCATTGCTTTGTCTTACCTGCTTCTATATCTTCCTTCGTCTTTGTCTTATCTCTTATTTTGTTCACTGATTTTCTTTTTCTGTTTATTTATCTATTTATTTATTGAATCACTGTGTGATGCAGTTGCAAAACCTTCATGTTTGAGTTTTAGTCATACAACGATCAAACACCCATCACTCCACCAGCGCACATTCTCCACCACCAATGTCCCCAGTATCCCCCCCACTTCCCAATCCTCCCCCTGCCTCCATGGTAGACAGTTTCCCCCATACTCTCTCTCTACTCTTGGGCATTATGGTTTGCAATACAGGTACTGAGAGGCCATCACACTTGGTCCTTTATCTACTTTCAGCACACACCTCCCATCCTGAGCGACCCCTCCAACTTAGTGACCCCTTCTTTATTCCAGCTGCCTTCTCCCCCAGCTCATGAGGCAGGCTTCCTAGGAATATTCCTAGGAGCAATATTCCTATCCCTAGCGATAGCACAGCCGTAGGGCATTCGCCTTACAAGCGGCCAACGTGGCCGACCCGAGTTCAATTCCTCCGCCCCTCTCGGAGAGCCCGGCAAGCTACCGAGAGTATTTGATATGCCAGACACAGTAACAACAAAGTCTCCAATGGAGACGTTACTGGGCCCACTCGAGCAAATCGACGATCAACGGGAGGGCCTTTACCTTTACCTTTACCTGTCTCTACTGTCCTTGGGTGTTAGCTTCATATTATGTCATTTTATATTGTACAAATGTGTTCACCGATTTTCTATCTTTCTGTTGGACGCCTGGGTAGATGCCCAAAGCCCCTTTTTCTTTGTCCCAGTTTATTTCATTTCATATAATCCCTCCTCTTCGTTCCATTCTGCTGCAAATGATGAAACTCCTTCATCCTTTTGTTTTTTTTCCTCTCTTTTGGTAGCAGAACGAATGGCCTTCCATTGGAGAAATGTATCTCATCTTTATTCACCTGTCTTTCTAAAGGGACTTCCATTGGAATGTGTATTATTTTCCTGGTTTTGTCTTCTGTGTTGAGACCCAAACGTCAGCTTAAATTCTGTCAGTGAATTTGTTAAGTGTCATTAATGAACTCAGATACAGGTTCACAGCACCCGTCTCTTTCAGAAATTCAGTGAAGAAAGGTTGTTGGCAACATGCTGAACTAATTAACTTTTTTTTATATATAATTTGTTAGCATCAAAACACATCTCTGGTATATTCTTTTAATAATACTTTCATTTTTAGTCAATCAACATATGTAGAAATAACATGTTAAATCATTTTGTCTTGGTTTCTGTTTTATTTATTTATTTTTTAAATTTTTATTAGTGAGACACCGTGAAGTACAGTGGTAGACTTACAAATTTTTGTGCTTAACTTTTAAGTGTTGTCAGAGTAATGGATAATCTGGAATCACTGTATTATTTTTTTTTAGTGTAGGAGTACTGCTGTTTATTAGGAATTGCTGTATTGATGCTGAATTCGAATGTAACTGTCAGCAATGCAGGCACTGATTCTTTAGAAGCAAGCCTTTACTCTCAGTCACCTTTGGCTTTTTCACTGTGATGAGTCGTGTTTTATTTGTTTAATTTTCTTTTGTTGTTTTTGGTTTTGGAGGCAGAACTCAGCCGTGCTCAGGGCTGACTCCGGGCTCTGTGCTCAGGGATCACTCCTGGCAGGGGTCGGAGGCCCTGAGCAGCGACGGGGATGGAACTTGGGTCTGGGATGGCCACATGCAAGGCAAGGATCTTCCCTTCTGCATTATCCCTCCAGCCCTGATTTTCATTAACTTAAAATTTTTCCATCTGGGATGCTTAGGTCATCCTTGACCCCAGTGTTTAGAGAGGAGACAGGGAAGGAAAGAAATCGAGTAGGGAAGAAGAGAACAAGAAGAAATGGGTGAGCAAGGCATCAGGGCTTCAGTTACCCCAGTGATGTGTGTGAGGACTAGGGCCATCCAGCCCAAACACAGATTACTCAGAACTGAAAACATGAGATCTAAGTGGCAACCACTGGTGGCACTCGGGAATGTGCCTCTCAGCTGGAGGGGTAGGGGAGGATGATGAGAGAATCTGGGAACATGGGTGGAGGGATTGCTGTTGAATTATTGTGTGCCAAAAACCCAGCTCTCAGTAACTTTGTAAATCATGGCTCTTTAATCACTGCCACTGTCCTCCCATTGTTCATCGATTTGCTCAAGCGGGCCCAGTAACGTCTCCATTGTGAGACTTGTTACTGTGTTTGGCATATCGAATACGTCACAGGTAGCTTGCCAGGCTTTGCCCTGTGGGCAAGATACTTTCAGTAGCTTGCTGGGCTCTCCGAGAGGGGGCTCTTTAATAAAAATATTTAAAAGTTTTGGGGCTGGAGCGATAGCACAGCGGGTAGGGCGTTTGCCTTGCATGCAGCCAACCCGGGTTCGATTCCCAGCATCCCATATGGTCCCCTGAGCACCACCAGGAGTAGCTCCTGAGTGCAGAGCCAGGAGTAACCCCTGTGCATCGCCGAGTGTGACACAAAAAGCAAAAAAAAATAAATAAATAAACATTTAAAAATTTCTGCTCATTATAGTAGGCCAACTCACGGGAGAGCCTTTAATAGATATTCCATGGCACACAGGGTCAGTGATGTCATCAGTAGGTCTCTACCTTTGGGTACCCGGAAGCTTTTTGGGAAGGGTTAGCCTGTTTCCCCCATCCCAAACGGCCACCCTGGGGCCCTTCAGGATGGACATCGGGAGTGTGACGGCCACTTCTCTCCTCTCTTCCCTGCAGAATCTCTTTGGCAGCAATGGCCTTGATGGAGGCAGCAGCCCGATGATCAAGCCCAAAGGAGACAAGCAAGTGGAGTACCTGGACCTCGACCTGGACTCTGGGAAGTCCACACCGCCACGAAAGGTGGGTGAAATCGCCACTACCAGCAGCGGGGTCGCATGCGCTCTAGAGCCAAATTGTTACGTCTCCTTCTGGGGGCGTCGGGGACAGATTGGTTTATCAATGTGTCCAATTTCAAGGAGGTCAAGTCTCATCCTTTGTTGACTGCTGCTAAATCACAAAGTTCACAGAGAGTCAAGAGTCTCCACTCTGGGGCTCTAGCAATAGCACAGTGGGTAGGGCGTTTGCCTTGCACGTGGCCAACCTGGGTTTGACTCCCAGCATCCCATATGGTCCCCCGAGTACCGCCAGGAGTGATTTCTGAGTCCCATATGGTCCCCCGAGTACCGCCAGGAGTGATTTCTGAGTGCAGAGCCAGGAGTAACCCCTGAGCATCGCCGGGTGTGACCCAAAAAGCAAAAAAAAAAAAAAAAAAAGAGTCTCCACTCTCTTTGCTGATGACTTGGAAGCTGGCTCTCCCATGAGCTACTCTGAAGTTCTCTCTCTCTCTCTCTCTCTCTCTCTCTCTCTCTCTCTCTATCTCGTTCTGATTTATATGCTATTGGGTGGGGGTGGGAAAGACTCCCAACAGTGCTTGTGGAGACAGAGGTCACTTTGGCAGCACCTGGTCAGGCACTGGTTGGCAGTTCTGGGGGATGATGCAGTGCCAGGGGTCCTAGGGTGTACTGTGATGGGCATTTGGGAATTAGGCATAACCTTCTACTCATGCAGTTGCCTCAGCCCTTTGGTACCATTTCTGTCCAATATTCCTGATTTTCCTTTTGTTGCACTCCAAAATCAAATCACTATGATTTTGAGCAGAGACCGGGTCAGTTTCACTGACCTTTTGTTTTCATGCCTTCATGAACTTGAGACTTTTCTTCTGTCATTGTTTTTTCTTTCCTCCTGAAATACATTTTGCCCTTCTCCTTGGGGGGCGGGGCACGGGGGGAAGTTCCTGGTGCATTTTTGTGTGTCTCATTTGGGATCCCACATGGCAGTGCTCAGGGGTTACTCTCAGCTCTGATGGGCGTCACTCCCTGCAGTGCCCGGGGGACAAGGCCTGCTGCACTCACTGCAGCCCTGTGAGCTGCCGCCCCAACTCGCCACTGATGGTGCGTCTCTCTCAATGCAGAAAATACTGTCTTGCTCTCTGCTGGCTCTGTGGCTCTTGTGCGGAAGCCAGTCGTCATTCCTTTGTAGGTGATCTGGCTTTTCTCTCCTTTATAATCTTCCTTGTATCTTTGCAGTTTATTTGCAAGTTCGCTACACTATGTGCCTAGTCATCTGGCCAGTTTTCTTCTTATTTATTCTGCTTAGTGAAAGTGGTACTGCCTTTATTTCTGATGCAGGGGGTCTTTTGAGGGAAGTGAGTCACACCCGGCGATGCTCAGGGGTTACTCCTGACTCTGCTTCTTGGGAATCACTTTTGGGGATGCTCGGAGGACCATGGGATTCTGGGAATCGTACCCAGGGTCAGCCCCGTGCAAGGCGGTACTATTGCGCTGGCCCCTCTGGATGCACCTTTGAAAATCAGTTCTGAAGAGGTCCCGATCCGACTCTCCCTGAATCTTCCTTCTAGTCCTTGTATTCTCTCCTTTAAGGTTTCTGATGAGACAGCTGTTAGAACTTCTCCCTCCGCCTTTCTGTGCCTCTTTCCAGTCTTGCCATTTTCTCTCCTCTTTGGGGTGCTCTCTTGGATGAAATTCAGGCGGGTTTTGCATGCCCTTGGGTGACCTTCAGAGCTCGCACGCAGCTCACTCCTTCACGGACCTTCCAAGCCTGTGTGTCTTACTTTCTGTTTTCGTTGCCTTTTGTTTTTATATAGTCTTTTATTTATTTATTTTTTATTTTATAAAGTAGTTCACAATATGATTTAGTCTTTTAAAACTCTGGAATATTTGACAAAATATTGTGACACCAAATTCAGGATCAGATGTCCTTGCAGGCCTGGTGTCCTCCTTCCTGCCAGCACCCTCACTCTGTGGCTTGCTTCCTTGTGTGCTTCTTACCTTTTTAGGACACTTTTTTTTTTTTGGTACTGAACCCAGCAGAACCTCAGCTACACGTGCACCTTGTCCCGGCTTCTGTCGCAGCTCCCCAGGGAAAGGCGGGGTCCCTGGGCTCACGACTTGAAAGGGCTGGAGAGAGAGGGACCACCAGTGGCCCCTGAGGTGCAAAGGCGCCTTCTCTTCCGAGTTGATATGCGTCCTCTCCTCAACTAGAGCCTCCACTTGAATTCTCATCATTTTTTAAGTTCTAGGGAAAAGTGGTGGAAAGTTTGGACAAGACCTTGTTCCGTGAAAGGGACGTTATCTTGTGACCCCATAAACTTTTTTTTTTTTTTAATTTTTGTTAGTGAAGCACCATGAGGTACAGTTGTAGACTTATAAATTTTTGTGCTTGGGTTTCAGTTATACAAGGATCCAGTACCCATCCCTCCATCATTTACAATTTTTTTAAAAAAATTTTTGTTAGTGAAGCACCATGAGGTACTATAGACCAAACGTGATTGTCACTCAATGCCTCTTTTGCAAACCACAACACCCAAAAGGAGAAAGAGACCCCATAAACCTTTAAGACAAGCATGCATGCATGCATGCACGTGTACGTGCACGTGCGTGTGTGTGTGTGTGTGTGTGTGTCTTAGACTTATTTTTTCTAGACTGAATTTTGCCAGGCAACACAACTTACCGTGGATATCCCCCCCACCCTTTTTTTTTTTTTTTTAGCAAAAGAGCAGTGGTTCCGGCAGCAGTGTGGCCGACGAGAGAGTGGATTATGTCGTGGTGGACCAGCAGAAGACATTGGCCCTGAAGAACACCCGGGAAGCCTGGACTGACGGACGGCAGTCCACAGAATCAGAGACGCCCACCAAAAGCGTGAAGTGAAAAGGGCCCGGTTCCATCTGAGTCTGAGCGAGCCCTGGGGTAGGAGACCACCCGGTGTGATGGCAGATGGGCCCGCAGGGGCTGCCTCCAACTCCGCTGACCCGCAGGACCTGTCTGACATCTTCCAACAACTGAGACTGTCCATGGTGCTTCGTGGTATCTGAACAGTTCGTCGCGTGTAAATAACGGGGCGCAGCATCACGGCGCGCCCAGAGCAGCCTTTGTTTCATAGCTAACACACTTTGTAGTATTACTGTATTCATGCACTTTTTGTTTGTTTCCACTTCAAACTTCGGTGTATTCCCAAGTGTCCCTTAACAGCATTCCTGGGGGAGTTCTCTCTCCTCACACTACTCTCTGTAACAACACAAGGTAACTAAGCTACTTTCAGACCAAGAATGTGTTCTTTAAACTACCGTCTAACAATGTTGGGAAGGAGAAGGCCGGGCGCCCCGGATGGCAGGTTGGCTGTCATCCTTAGCTGGACGGAGGCACTGCACCAGAGCCACGGGGCTGAGTGGACAAGATATCCCGGTGTCAGAACCTCCTTCTCTGGCTCCCGTGCATTTAGTTTTACATGGTAGAACTTTGTTAGAGTTTTTATAAGTGACAGTGTTTTTCACTCATCAATGAGTCTGCAGGGTGGGATTTTTTTTCTTTTTTTGCATTTTGAAAAAAACAAAAACGAAAAAACAAAACAGAATCATCACACTTACCAGGTAGGACTCCAGATCACTGGTGGCACGTGGCGATGTGCTTTTGTAATTAACATGTTTTAAACTTTTGCAAAATGTAGATTAGAGAACTAATCAGGTACGTTCCGGGCACGGGTGTGTGGACACTGAGAGAGAAGGCGCTTGAGTTTGTTCCTGTTAGTCCTAACTTTGCTTTCCAGTTTGGAATTAATGCAGCAGCGGACACTCACTGTGTGCTAGAGCATCAATACTGTGATTTTTAATGAGACAGTAACTCAGATGTTTTTTTTTTTTTCCTAAGAATGAGATTCTATCTCGACACCATAGAGTGCCCTCTCTGATTTTTTTTTCAACTTGACTTGATACTCTTCTTCGCCTTCTATTTAAATCCCTATGCAATTAATATTTTATATCTACATTTAAAAGAAAAAATAGTTGTTATATAAGTGATTCTCGTGTAGCATCTGTTGCTTTTCCAGTATAAAAAAAGAAAGAAAAAATTAAGGATTTTGTACTGTGATTTGGACACACTGCCCCAATCTGAGAAGTCTCAGAGCCTTGTTAATAATGTGAAACCTCAGAGTCACAGTTTCTTCCGACCAGATTTCTGAAACCACCAGAAGAATCATCTAATTGGGTCTGACCTGTAACATGACCCTATGACATGGATTATCAGGATCACAAATTATATTTAGTGAGGCTACAGTTCTCTACCTTGGCTTTGCAGCATGAAAATAAGGTATGATTTTTTTTTTAACTCAGTAAAAAAACAATCTCTTACATACTGATTTGAGACTCACAGGCTTTGGAAGGAAGGAATGCCTGCAGTGAGGAGTGGACCCTTCCTGTCAGAGCCGGAGCTGGTCTGAGTGACTGATGTGTCCTGACTCGTGGCCTATGGCCATAATTCTGTGCCTAATTAATATCCAGGGTTTGTTCCCCCAAACCATGAACAACAGCAAAAGATGTTCCTAATAAGACAACTTGTAGATTAGACCTATTTGATGCTTTCAAATGTTTGGTTCTTTTTAAACAAAAACTAAAATCTCAAAATTGGATATCGAGGTGGCTTTTTAAATAAAAATAAAAACTGTTTCAATTTGGTGTACTCACGCTGTTTCATCCTGAAACCACAAAGTGAATCTAAAATCATTCAGATGTGCCTCTACTGTCAAAACAGAATTGATGTGTAGATACTAAATTGTATTACCTGGAGGACGAACCTATTCTAGGATTTAGAACACAGCAATAAACACTATTAATTCAAAAATAGAACTCTTGCTTTAGAAGTTACTTGTCAGAAAGTCTCAGGCATGAATTATCTTGTATAATTTCTCCTTCAACTTTTACAAATTAGTCACCGTTTTCAAAGAATATTATCTGTAGAAATTTTCCCATTATTTAGAAAGCCATTGAATATTGTGTTAACAAGTCAAATTAAAAGACAGTTTCTTATAGAGCTATATTTTCCAAATACTTTTAGCACTAGAATCTTTTAAAATACAATTTTGTGAGCCAGAACAATAGTACAGCAAATCGGGTGTTTGCCTTACATGCATCTTACCTGGGTTCAATCAGCAGCATCCCAAAAGGTCCCCCGAACCTGCCAGGAGTGATTCCTGAGCACAGCCAGGAGTAAGCCCTGAGCACCGCTGGGTGTGGCCCCAACACATAGAGCCTGAAAGTCCATTTTATTTTTCTACATGGATTTTGACTTCACATTTGTGCTAGTTCATTTCTTTATCCTGTGTTACCCGTATGTGATCAGGGAAATTTCAATTTACATACCCTTCTAGGAAGTGCAAATAATAACAGGTCTAAACGTGCATCTTAGGAGATCCTGGAATTTGAGATAGCCAAAGGACATTTCCACAGTTTACACAAAATCAGGGCTGGAGCGATAGCACAGCGGTAGGGCGTTTCCCTTGCACGCAGCCAACATGGCCGACCCGAGTTCGATTCCTCCACCCCTCTCGGAGAGCCCGGCAAGCTACCGAGAGTATCTCGCCTGCACGGCAGGGCCTGGCAAGCTCCCCGTGACGTATTCGATATGCCAGACACAGTAACAACAAAGTCTCCAATGGAGACGTTACTGGGCCCGCTCGAGCAAATCGATGATCAACGGGAGGGTCTTTACACAAAATCAGGTTATCCTAGTTAAAAAAAAAATGTTAGGATATCAACAGTTTCCAGTAGAGATCTGCTACACATTAGAACACGTAGTTTTTGAAGTTTGTGAAATAAACATTAATGAAAACACAGTTTGAATCAATCTTTGTTATACCCCAATTCCCTGCAAGAAACAATGCTTTGGCCAGGTATAAATTGAAATTCAACAGGTTAGCCAGGTAACAGGGAGGAAATTACAAATCTCTTCTTCCCACATTTGATATCCCTTATTCTTAGCAACTGTAACATCATAATCGATTTTTAAATATCAAACATCATTTTACTTTCAAAAGTACAAGGGTGAGTCATTCAAGCTACTTAACCCTCAGGTGTCAATTCGTGAACTATAAAAGATGGTTTTTGTCTCCACCCTAGACATTGTCTGCTTTATTTTTATCAATATAAGCTACTGTGGGCATTTTCGAGAATTCCATGAAGGTACTATGAGTGTATGTGTCTGTTTATATATAAACTGCGCTATATTTAATCACAGATTACATTTGAAATAGGAGAACCTGCTTCATATTTCTGTGTTCAGGGTGGAAGTCATTATTTTGTCTGGACTCTTGTGTTTCCACCTGGAGGTCACAGCCTTTGTATTCAGAAATGTATTTTAACTGGAAATGGAACACTAGTGTTTGTCTTTTTTTTTTGTTCTTTCTATGAGTGGGAAGTTACCTCCTGCTTTCCTTTAGCAAAATCAGTAATTTTTTTAAAAAATTTAAAACATTTTTCATAGCCACTAATCGTAATTCTTGGATGTCCCTGAGTATTTGTAGTGCCTCTTTATTTGCCCCATTCAAAGCATTGGCGTTAGTGTTTTGAATGAACAGCAAGCCTTTAAGTCTTAGAAGCTATGAGGTGTTATGTCCTGGACTCATTTCTATGGTTTGTCCCATTTTCTCAACTATTCAAGCCCTTGTCAGGAATTGAGCAAGGCATTAGCAAGTGCTGTCACTAGCATCCATTATTTGTAAATCTGTATATAATTTAAAATACAACTTGAACCTGACATTCATGTGTCATTGAATATTCTTGACATCAGGGACTTGGCAGCTTCTGGAATTGATTAGTTTTAGTTTTTAGTCCATTCCAAGAAGGGTCTGTATTCCTTCAGCTCAAAATAACTTGCTCTTTGCTTCCAGAGACTTCTCTCTCTTTAGGTTCAAGAGAGTTTCGATGACTGTGTAAGTCCAGGGATGAGCAGAGCTTCCGTTTCTTTTTCAGAAAAAGAGATGGCTTTGGGGCCCGAGCAAAACATGAACATTTCATATGATTTCACCTCCCCTTCACCACCCAGCACCGCCAGGAGTAATTCCTAGGTGTAGAGCCAGGAACAACCCCTGAGCATCGCCAGGTGTACCCAAAAACCAAGACCAAAACGAAACAAAACAAAGCAAAACCCATGGCCTTTGAGTTCTGGTAACCTAAATCCATCATTGAGAATCATCTCAAACTTCAGTAGGGAAGCCTTATGTATGTGTTTACTTCTTCTTTTGTAAAGGTCCAATTGTAGATATTGTCTGCTACCTAATAAAACTTCTCAAACCATTTGGTTTCAACCGTTGGTTGGTTTGGGTCCTGGAGTTGTGAAGCCATTAAGAATGTAGAACTTTGAATTTCCTGCCTTGCCGAGAGGTTTCTGAACCACAAACCCAGTCTGGTCTTGCTTCTGTAGAACCACCCGCATCTTGCAAGTTTTTGCTCCGTCGTGCTCAGCTGGAAGAGTCAACTTCCAAACTGGAAAATCTGCCCATGTGTGTTTGCCTGTTGCTTCTTCAGAGGTCAGCGCTGGCAGGGTTTGGTGGAGTCAAGGGCCAGTTACTGAAGCTTGCAAGCAGCCTTCACCGTCACTGCTTAGAAAATGAGAGCTGGCCTTTTCATATCTACGAATCTCCAACTTCTCCAGTTCCTCTTGAAAACCCAAGAATGACTCTTGAGGCAATCCCTCAGCCACCTCCATTCAGCATTTTGTAGCTCCTGCTCACTTTCCTAAGCATGTTTGGGGAGCATGGGGTTACCTCTGTGGGCATGTTCTCGTCATCTGTCACCTTGTAAGAGGTAAATCCTCCGGGTATTTGCATGTAGTTCTTTGGAGCAAGTCTTTCTTTCTGATAAACACAGTTTTTCTTTCTTTCTTTCTTTCTTTCTTTCTTTCTTTCTTTCTTTTTCTTTTTTTTTTGCTTTTTGGGTCACACCCGGTGATGCACAGGAGTTACTCCTGGCTCTGCACTCAGGAGTTACTCCTGGCGGTGCTCAGGGGACCATATGGGATGCTGGGAATTGAACCCAGGTCGGCCGCATGCAAGGCAAACGCCCTACCCGCTGTGCTATCTCTCCAGCCCCTCACATGTTTTCTTAGTGGAGTTGCATGGAGTGAGTTGTCCATTTTATTAACTACATATTTAGCAGCTGGGTCAGTAGTGGGAGTTATTTTGTGTATTGATTCTGACGAATAACTTCCCTTAGATTTCCTGCATTAGTAGGACCCCAGAACCAGCCACCACCATGCTGAGACCACTCTCCACATGCATGAAGGTACCAGAAGAGGAACAAAGGCATGCGGGTCCCTGGGCTGAGATCCCCAAGCCTGCTCGGATCAGGGCTGAGCATCCTCCACCCAGATCCTCCATCTTCCAGTAGGCAGGGGTCACACCCACCAACTGGCCCCCTGGCGCTGTGTAATCCTGTCAACGACCAAGACCCAGAGACTATAAAACCCAGCTCCTGGAAGCGGGTTACGACATCTTATTTTCTCATTCTTACTTTGGACAATCTGGCAGGCTACCGAATGTTACCTGCCCACACAGCAGAGTCTGGC